ATGTATTCACTTTAGTACCTATATGAGCACACTGTGTGTTGCTTAGCAAATCTGTAATACTAGGTGTACATATCAGAGAAACAGTTATAAAAGGCACTTGTAAAGTTAAACTCAAACACAGAACACGAATTAACAAAAAATAAATATTATAAATCTGCTGCCTCGTTGGCCGAGTGGTCGCAAGTGCGACTGCCGGGGCAAGGGGTCTCGGGTTCGATTCCCGGGTCGGGCAAAGTATTACTGGGTTTTTAAAAATCTCAGTGGTAGCGCGAAGTCTCGAAATGTGCCCGGTATATGGCAATAGGCTCACCCCCTATTACATGGGTCTCATAACACAAATAGTGAAAAGTGGGTGTTACATTGTACAGTGGCATTAAGTGCCGAAATGTGCACCTCTGCCTACCCCTTCGGGGATAAAAAGGCGTGATGTTATATGCATATAAATATTATAAATGTACAATTGTGTTTCACTTACCGGGACTAATGAAAATATCCAAGAGGTTCCCAAACAAGAACGTTTGCTTCGGCCCTTTAATTTTGTTGATTAATCTACCGCTGTACTTATATCGAAAGTATAGATGTAAACCGATTACGAAAGTGCAAATCGAGAGTAAAATTTGCAGGAACATTTTCTACACTATCGCAAACTACGACTGCCGTAAAACGTTATGAGTATTTGGTACCTACGCTATTGATATGTTCTTGCTCTTATCAGTAACTGGGTTACAAAACCGACCTTTAAGTACATTCCGTTTATACATCCGTTACGCCACATCTGTAGTACAATCGATTCTTTTATTAATACTCCTAATACATCTTCATTAAGTACTAGCAAACCCGGCGAACTCCGTTTCGCCACCAGATGGCTTCGTTTCATGTAACATTTCATTTGGTGATTAAAAGATGAAGAAAAAATGTTATTTCCTGAATTTTCTTTCCTATAAACCTCATGGAGTCCGAGACCTTCCCAACGAATGCAAAACCGTGGAAATCGGTTCGTGCGTTCTGGAGATAACTCCAGAATGGTTTTCCTTAATTTTATATAGCTTTATAAACCCGACTTAATTTTATATAGTAGATAATCGATTCTTTCATTAATTTCTGTCTGGCTTCGGCAAGGTACTTATGAGATTAGTGCAGTGGCGAGACACTTTGCGCGGTGTGCCACAGGGTTCCGTCCTGGGACCGCTCCTGTGGAACATTGGCTATGACTAGGTGCTGCACACCAACTTCCAGATCGGCGGGCGTCGACGTGGTCGATACGCTGACGATACACCGTTATACCTACTTTACTGAGAAAGAAATTACCTTATGTGTTATTTTGGCTTTCGTCCAGATCCGATGTGATTACGTGACAAACATACATTCAAACATTCGTTTTTATGATATGAGATTATGAGTAATCGTATTAAAACAGGGCTGACAGCTGTAACTATTTTTTGTTTACTATTTTTATGATAAAAATACTATCTAAGGTAATTTAATGTAAGTTCATATATTATTAGAAGGTGCAATGCACATGCATTTAACAGAAACCCTGCGACATAATAAGCAGAACAAGAAATATAGATCACCGATTGTAATCACTAAAATGTCAATACCTATACTTATTTAACTCATGCATTTTATGTTGTCATACTTGATTTCTTGTTTAAAAGTCAAAGTTCATTATTATATGTTCAAAAGGTTTTGTGTTATTATTTTCAAAGATATTTTTATTTCCTTTTCGTAAGAGAGTTAAAGAACCTTATACAAGGGCCAATAGAATAAGTGGATGATAAAGTAGATGATGTTAACAACTTTGACTAAATTTGACTGCATTATACTAAATTTGAGAAAATTTGACTGTACGATTGGTGCGATGGCTGGGCAAACGGCTGCCGTGCAACGTGTCGCGGGTTCGATTCCCGCACGGAACAACTGTTTGTGTGATCCACAAATTGTTGTTCCGGGTCTGGGTGTCATGTGTATGTAAACGCACCCACACAGGAGATAATCCTAGTGTGGGGCAACGTTTATAAAAAAAACTTTATTTTGATGCGGCAAGTGTTGAGTAAAATTGCTTTTTGGAGTGTGTGGAGAGTGTATGTAGGCATATGGAGAGTGTTGAGGCTTTGTGTGAGGGGACTATGTGGACAATATGAACTGTTTATTGCCCTCCACTGTATCATTATTAAACAATAGTTAAGCACACCTTTTTCGACGTAGGTAGGTACTTCAAAAAATGTGCATGACTTTGTTACAAACGTATGCATGAGACATTGTATAAACTTGATGTCATCATTCTTATTTTTTGTGTATCCAATTAAAATAACTTGATTTTCTCATGGAGTTCCATTTCATAGTGAATACGTGAATTCTAGAATTTTAATGTCAAAATGATAAAAAAGCTTCCGGCTCACAGCTGTTAGGTTACATTTGAACATATTGACCCGAAGGACATCTATCATTTTCTTAAACTCTGGTAACGCAACGTGGTAACCCATAAATAATCCATACACATTATGGTGCTTCAATCCCATAACGTTGCATCACGCCTTTAATCCCAAATGGATAGGCAGATGTGCACATTATGGCACTTAATGCCACTGTACAATGTAACACCCACTTTTCACTATTTATGTTATGAATCCCATGTAATAGGGGGTGAGCCTATTGCCATATATCGGGCAAATTTCTAAACTCCGTGCTACTACTGAGGATTTTTAAAAAAAATCCAGTAATACTTTGCCCAACCTGGGAAGTGAACCCGAGATCCCTTGTCCGGCGGCAGTCGCAATTGCGATCACTCGCACAACGAGACACTTTTATCGGATTATAATTGTTAACTTAATTGTGGACTCCGACATTGGTTTCTGATAGCAAATGGTGAGACTATGTTGCATAAATCCTTAGAGCGAAAATACATGTAGAAATAGTAGATAATAAATAAATAACACTAAGAAATAAGTACAAAAATAAATAAACTATTTATTAGAATAACTACAGTTTTCCAGTCTCAACCATTTCTTTTAGCCGATACTTTTGTATTTTCCCGGACGCTGTCTTGGGGAACTCTTCAATCGTCTTCAGCACCCTGGGGATCTTGAACCGGGCGATGTGGCCGTCACAGTGACGTCTGACATCGTCTACTGTTACTGAAGCACCTTCTCTGACGCGAAGTACTGCGCATAACTCCTCACCTAGCCTCTCGTCTGGGATGCCTATGACCTGGTGACAACAACCAGATCATGTTACTCACGTTAAAGAACAAAATTATTGTTCTGACACTGGGTGTGATATGCATGTATGATATTTCATCTTTGTAAATGAATCCACGACATAGGGGACAGTACTAATTGTGAGGAAAATTAAAAAATAATCGAACGAAGTAGAGTCAAGATATTTCTCATTTAAGCCGAAATATTTTTTTTCTAAACTTTGCCGTAGTCGGCCACGTACCCATGACACACAAACGTACGTTTACAAACATACAAGTTCACATACACATCACACCCAGACCCGGAACTACAATCTGTGGATCACTCAAAGAGTTGTTCCTTGCGGGAATCGAACCCACGACACGTTGCGCGGCAGCTAGGCGGCAACTGGCTGCCGCGGAGTCCGTGCAACCATACATTCTAAAGCATAAGATTTTATTTCTCTGAGTCTGGGTATGATACGGATGTAAGGGCCATTGCAAACCATTGGCATGATTAACCTTTAGTCTTTCGCTAGAAATGAAACCTAGGTTATATGTTATGAGACAATACAAAGAATCAATAGCAAAAAACCAAGTTTATCAGCCGTAACCGAATGAAGGTAACCAGTGAAGTATTGCTGGTATAAAATTTTCAGGCGCTATCTTTTTAAATTGTTATACATTTATATCGAAATAAAAATATATCCTACGTGATATATTGAGGTTTCCATTGATGAGATAGATGAAGTTGGTGATTACTGTTACATTCTTTTCCCAATGGCATTTTTTATCTCTTAAACTCTAATAGAACGCAGTGGCGTTCTATTCCTGTAGTGAAGGATATGTTTAATGGAATACATAACATCACGCCTTTTATCCCG